GAACTGAGAGGCTGGGGATGGGGAGGGAGGTAAGGTGGGAGGGAGGCTGATTTTCCCATTTATTCCCTTTGGGATCTTTTAAATTTTGTACCATGGGTTTGGGCCACCTGTTCAAATAATGAAAAAGACTAAGCAGGAGAATGAAAGAGAGAGAGACAAAGGAAGGCAGAGATAAAGATGCAGGAAGAGGCTGGGTGCGGTGGCTCACGCCTGTAATCCCACCACTTTGGAGGCTGAGGCAGGCAGATCACTTGAGGTCAGGAGTTCGAAACCAGCCTGGCCAACATGATGAAACCTCGTCTCTACTAAAAATACAAAAATTAGCCAGGCGTGGTGGCTCGTGCCTGTAATCCCAGCTACTCAGGAGGCTGAGGCAGGAGAATTGCTTGAACCCAGGAGGCAGAGGTTGCGGTGAGCCAAGGTCTTGCCACTGCACTCCAGCCTGGGTGACAGAGCAAGACTCCCATTTGAAAGGAAGGAAGGAAGGAAGGGAGGGAGGGAGGTCCAGGGAGAGGAGGGAACAGAGAATTCACCTTCGTATAATCCAGCAGTCCCCAAGCGTGGCTCTGAGCTACCCCCATGTCCCCCAAGCGCAGTCCAGGACCCTGCTTACTGCCCCATCTCATCCCCTAGTCAACACCTCTCCACCCCAAGTCTCCTCAGATCACCCCAGGGCAACAGCCTCCCTTTCGGAGTCTGTGGCTTGGGGCCTGCCCTCCTTCCGTGACCAGCCACCTGGGAAGACACAGGCCCTTTTCTGTTCATAACTGTGGTCCCATGAGTCGGGTAGTGAAGGCAGCCTTGACCCACTTCTCAGTGTGGCATGGTGAGGATGTGCAGGAATTCCCAGGCCCGATGCCAGGATTCTAATCCTGCCTCTATCGCTTTCTGGCTCTGTGACCTCAGGCTGACATCTTTGTTCCTGTCTCTCATCTGTCAAACAGGCCAAGGAAGGTGCAGTAGTTCCACAGAAGGCGGCTACGAGGGTCGTGTTTCCCGGGCTGTGATCACAAATTCCCAATGCGGTGGCTTGAAATAGCACACATGTATTCTCTCAGTTCTGTGTTGTTTTTTTTTTTGTTTTTTTTTTTGAGAACGAGTCTTGCTCTGTTACCCCAGGCTGGAGTGCAGTAGTGCGATCTCAGCTCACTGCAATCTCTGCCTGCCAGGTTCAAGCGATTCTCCTGCCTCAGCCTCCTGAGTAGCTGGGATTACAGGTGCCCACAACCACGCCCGGCTAATTTTTGTGTTTTTAGTAGAGACGGGTTTTCACCATGTTGGCCAGGCTGGCTTCGAACTCCTGGCCTCAAGTGATCCACCTGCCTCGGCCTCCCAAAGTGCTGGGATTACAGGCGTGAGCCTCCATGCCTGACCGTATTCTCTCAGTTTTGGAAGCCAAAGTCTGAAGTGCAAGTGTGGACAGGGCTGTCCTCCCTCTGAAGCCTTCAGAATGCTTCCTGGCCCCTTCTGGCTTCTCCTGGAAGGCCCCTGGCGTTCCTGACTCCAGGCTGCATCAACACTCTAACCCGTGATGGGCTGCTTCTCCGTGTGCCCCAAATCTCCCTCTGCATTTCTCTAAGGGACACTTTTCAGTAGATTAGGGCCCACCCGGATACACCAGGGTGACCTCATTTCCAGATCCTTAACTCAGGACACATCTGCAGAGACCCTTTTTCCAAAAAAGGCCACACTCACAGATTCTACGTGGACCTATCTTTTTTGGGGGTGGGGGTAACTTTTTTTTTTTTTTTTGGTGGGGGGAACATTTTCCTCGGGGTGGCGGTAACCACTACAGGGGTTAAATGGGGCAAAACTAGGAGCTCAGCGAAGCCCCTGAACACAGCCAGACTTTGATCAATGTTTTTTTGTCTTTGAGATGGAGTTTCGCTCTTGTTGCCCAGGCTGGAGTGCAATGGCATGATCTCGGCTCACTGCAATCTCCACCTCCCAGGTTCAAGCGATTCTCCTGCCTCAGCCTCCCGAGTAGCTGGGATTACAAGCACCCGCCACCAAGCCTGGCTAATTTTTGTATTTTAAGTAGAGACGGGGTTTCACCATGTTGGCCAGGCTGGTCTGGAACTCCTAAACTCAGGTGATCCGCCCACCTCAGCCTCCCAAAGTGCTGGGATTAGAGGCGTGAGCCACCGCGCCTGGCCCATTCTCCCATTCTCAATCCTGGCTGCATGTTAGGATCACCTGGGTAATTTTTATCTTAAACACCTGTGACCAGGCCCCAAGCCACACAAAAGGGAGTTTCCCTTTGCTTAGAGAACCAAGCCTCAGTGTGGCCTTCAAGGCCCTCATTTCTCCCAAGATCTGTGGTTCATTCATTCGTCGCCCATTTCCTTCCCCAGTGGCAGCCATGCTAATATGCAAATGAGTCTCCTAATTTGGTCTTGCAAAATGAGGACCACTGTTTTATGTCCATACTTTACAACGTATACACCCAGCCTTGTATTATAAATCTTATTGTTTTTCTTACCTGCTGGCTGCACAGGAATTTTGGGGGTGCACTCCTTCTGTTTAGCCACCCACCACCCTAGGGTGGATATGCCGCCGCCTCCAGCCCCCACCCCACAAATAATGCTGCAGTGAACATCCTCGTTGACTCTCCCTCAGGTCCAGAGAGTTTCTTTGGGAAGTCACCCAGGTGTGACTATTGGAATCATTGGGAGACACATATACGCAACACTTGACTAAGCCGCATCTGTTTTTCTCAGACTCATGGTGTAAAATGCCATGGCACGGTTTGAATGTGCACGTCTCTGATGACTAATGACTTTGAGCGGCTATGTACACCCTTACTGGCCTTTGAGTTCTTTCTTCTCTAAATTGCCTGTTCATATCCTTTGCCCATTGTCCTGTTATGGCTGGTCTCTTTTTCTTGTGAAGAAGATATCTTAAGTGTTAGACTTTGCAAATATTTTCCCCCATTCTGATACCTATTACAAATGAAAATTATTATTATTTTTTGAGGTGGACTTTTGCTCTTGTTGCCCAGGCTGGAGTGCAGTGGCGCGCTCTCATCTCACTGCAATCTCTGACTCCTGGGTTCAAGCGATTCTCCTGCCTCAGCCTCCCAAATAGCTGGCATTACAGGCACCAGCCACATACCCAGTTAATTTTTTTGTATTTTTAGTAGAGATGAGGTTTCACCATGGTGGCCAGGCTGGTCTTGAACTCCTGACCTCAGGTGATCCGCCCGCCTCAGCCTCACAAAGTGCTGGGATTACAGGTGTAAACCACCGTGCCTGGCTTTTTTTTTTTGAGACAGAAACTCAGTCTGTCATCCAGGCTGGAGTGCAGTGATGCGATCTCGGCCCACTGAAACCTCCGCCTCCTGGGTTCAAGTAATTCTCATGCCTCAGCCTCCCGAGTAGCTGGGATTACAGGCACCCACCACCAGGTCCGGCTAATTTTTGTATTTTTAGTAGAGACAGGGTCTCATTTTGTTGCCCAGGCTGGTCTCAAACTCCTGACCTCAAGTGATCTGTCTGCCTCGGCCCCCCATAGTGCTGGGATTACAGGCATGAGCCACCGCACCCGGCCCCCAGCATGCTTATTAAATCTCCTTGTCGTATATGAAGCTCCTGTACACACCTGGGTCTGCCTCTGGGTTCTCTGTGCTGTCACTAAATCAGAATTACCAGGGTGAAGCCCAGCAAATCTAATGAACAACAAGGGTGGAGAATCCTGACTGCATGGTAATAGAATGTGTGTTAGACACATACACAAACACTACATTTCCCAACCTCCCTTGCCTCTGGGTGCGGCTGCGTGACTAAGCTCTGGCCAATGAAGCAATGGCAAAACCTCTGGGTCAGTCCTTCAAGAGGAGTGCCCTCCTCTCTCTGTGCCCCCTTCAGAGCATAAGGAATCCTCTAATACCACATGGGAGAGGCAGGTGTCCCAGGAGGAAGGAAAAAGATGGAAGGACCAATTCGGAGTCCCACAGAAGTAGGCCTTTTACACGGAAGAGCAGTCGTGGATGGCAGGGGTTCCCAAACGTGAGCGGGCACCAGCATCCCCCAGAGGGTGTGTTAAATACAGATCACTGGGCCTCACCAGCATCTGATGCACCCGGGGCGGCGCACAGGGATTTATTTGCGTGTCCAGTAACTTCCCAGTGATGCTGCTGGTCTGGGAACCACACTGTGAGAACAGCTGGTCTGACCTGGCTGCATCGTTTATTTTGGGTCTTTGTAAACGCACCTCCAGCCCCCAGGTGGACAAATCCATCCCTGTGCTCCTCCTGGGCCTCCGGGTCTGACCCTCACCCATGGCACCTGTCCAGCCGAGTGTCATTCATTCCCGTGGAGCGCCTCAGCTGGTCAATTAAATGTGGGCAGAGGGAATCCTCTGGCGCCACCCCTGTCCTAAGCGCTCCCCTGTTCCGCTACAGGCGGACGCCTGAAACATGCATCTGTAGACCCCCTGGGCCAGTGGGGTCGGGAAGGGTCTGCCGGTAGGAGGCTCCTGGGTGAGAGTCCAGGGCGGGAAGCTGGACGAAGCCACTCTGCTCTGGCCCAGCAGAGGCGAGAGTGACCATCTAAGATTTGGGGAATGCCATCGGCCCCTTCTGTTCCTCCAGCCACACAGGTGGCAGCAGCCTCCTGTCTTTAATGATCGCTGGGCACCTGGCCCTCTGTGGCTCCTCCAGCCTTCTCAAAGCTTTGTCATGATCCAACCACCTTTACCAAATCCCACCATGTGAAACAACTCTGGTTGGGGTCTGTTTAGCTGACTGGCTCCCGCTGGAGGAAGCCACGTGGGGAGGAACGGGACCTCGGGCAGCTTTCACCCCGCGCCGCCCAAAGCCGTGCCTTCAGACTGCAGTTGAGTGGGCCGGGCGTGGTGGCTCACGCCTGTAATCCCAGCACTTTGGAGGGCCAAGGAGGGAGGATCGCTTGAGGCCAGGAGTTGGAAACCAGCCTAGGCAACTTAGTAACATGTCTCTCAAAAAAAACTCCCCCCCCCCGCCCCCAAACAAAAAGAAACAAACCTGCAGTGAGTGACTGAAGGCACCAAAACCAGCAGTCACCGGGGGTCACACATGTGACTGGGTACAGGAGCTCCCGTCTCTGAGCCCATGGTTTCTTCAGCAGGAGCGTGGGCAGCTCCTAGAGCCAGCTGTTCTCAGTGCCTGTGGGGTCGCCGAGCACCCTGGCTGAGCCTTGTGTTTCTGAGATGCTCTGTTCTTCTCAGTCCTTATCTGAGTCTGGAACCACAGTCACAGCAGCCTCCAGAACTGCTATTCTCTTTTCTGGAACAACTTGTTCATGAGGTAGAAGGAATTACCTGCTCTTTCAAAGTCTGGTAAATCTCATTTGAGGCCAGGCACGGTGGCTCACGCCTGTAATCCCAGCACTTTGGGAGGCCGAGGTGGGTGGATCACGAGGTCAGGAGTTCAAGACCAGCCTGGCTAAGATGGCAAAACCCAGTCTCTATACTAAAAATACAAAAAATTAGCTGGGCGCGGTGGCAGGCGCCTGTAAGCCCAGCTACTTGGGAGGCTGAGGCAGGAGAATCGCTTGAACCCAGGAGGCAGATGTTGCAGTGAGCTGAGATTGTGCCACTGCATCCAGCCTGGGCGACAGAGTCACACTCCGTCTCAAAAAAAAAAAAAAAAAATCTCATTTGAAAGCGCATTCGAGCCTGAAGCGTTTTATTTATTCTGGAGTGTGTGTGCAGTGAGGAGACAGTTATTTTGGTCTTGTTTTCTATTTCTTCTTTTGCCAATGTTAGCATTTTTTTTTTTTCCAGAAAGGCATCCACCTCACCTAAGCCTCCAACACACTGCAGAGAGCACAGCTGCTTGCACCGCTGGGTTTCACTCTGTGATGACCCATCTAGGCTGTGCTTGCACTTGGCATAGGCCCTGCCACACACACAGTGCCCTGATTCTTGGGGTCAGGACCTGTGGAGGGCGGGAGGCGTGGACTAACCTGGAATCTCTGCCCTGGCCACTCACTTCCCAAGAGGACCAGGCTGAGATCTCTGGTGCTGATGACGCCTGGCTGGCTTTGGGGATGGAGGCTCACTCCTGGCTCTCCCCTTGCCCCACTGCCTCCCTGGGTGCCGGGGAGGATGCAGAAAGTGGAGCCCAACAGGGCCTGAGGCACGAAGTGCCAGAATGCAGCAGCAGCAGGGATGGCGGCATGGCCACCTCCATGCCAGTCAGATGCCCCCCAGTGTGGGCTCGGCTCCGGGCTCCCGCGTGGAGGGACGCACTTCACAGGGGGTCTCTCCGAAGCTAGCAGCTCCAGGCCAGTTGGCCTCAGTCAGTCCTCCTAAAGTCCATCTGCCCACTGACCAATCTGCCAAATGGCCTTAAATTTACCAACATCGGGTTAGCTCCTACCCACCAAACGCGCTCAAGATAAACAGCCTTTAAAAGGTTCCAGGAAATTGCAGATTTGGCAAACTGGGATCAGTCTGCACGTGGACCGTGGCAAACTGGCTGCTTCCAGGGGTGGGGACAACTCTGTCCCATTCTGGGGAGTGGCGGGTTTGGGGGGCTTACTGGCTGCTTTGAGCTGAACTCCCCACTCCCCACCCCACCCTTGCCCTGCCCTGGCTGGAACCGTGGTTTGCTCCCAGATCCAGACCCTCTCCCTGCAAATTCCCACCCAAGACAGTCGGGCAGGGCCCCCAAACACACCACACACACAAAACAAGAGAACGTTTTAATTGTAAAACTAACTCGAGGCAGGGGTGGGGGGGCCGGGGCTGCGCTGACCGGGCAGGAACCTGGGTCTCCAGGCAGTGGTTCTGCCCGGGCCACCCCGTAGGACAGGGACCATCTGTCCCCCAATAGGGGCAGGGGCTAGAGTGTTATAAAACGACAATATAAATAGACTTCTAGAAAAGAGGAGGCTGTCCAGGTGCAGTAGTCATTTGCTGCAGGGGCTAGAGAAGGTGGGGGGCCCTGACCCTGTCTTCCCATCCAGCCACAGAAAGGGGGTGCAGGGCTATGGGAAAAGGCCACTCTTCGGACATTCATGATCGACCCCCACAATGGCTCAGGGGGAGGGATGGGTGTCAGGCAAGGCGCCAGATACCCCGTTGCAGGCTGGAGGACGGGGTGGCTGGATCTTTGCACACACGCACATGCACACTCGCACGCGTGCACACTCACACACACGTTCACCTCTCTTAGTGTTCTCTCCACCCCCAGCAACCCCCACTGCAGACTTCCAGTGATGGGAGGGCCGCTGTCCTCCTGGAGACAAGAACACGGGGGAGGGCCTGTCCCAGAGGGTGAGGGTCCTGGGAGCCTCACTTGCTCCCACGAGTCCCTGTGTTTTTCTAAAAGTCACGAGATCAAAACCGGAGTTCAGTAGTAGGGTCCCATCTACCCCCGGCAAGGAGGGCGGTGCCACACGGAGCATCTCCCGGGCTGGGAGGAGTGGGAGGCCTGGCCCCCTACTGGCCTCGGTGGGGCGGGGGTGACCCGGGGGGCTCTTTGGTCGAGGGGAAGGGCGCTGGGCCTCATCTGGTGCGGTTCTGGCGCATGAGGGGCACGATGCTGGCGGGCGGCCCCGCCTTGGCCAGGAATGGGTGCTTCAGCAGCTCAGCTGCCGTGGCCCGCTGGGCAGGGTCCCGCACCAGCAGGCGGTCCAGGAAGCCCTTCAGGGATGGTGACACCTGTCCAGGAGGAGCGGAGGGTCAGGGGGTGAGGGTCTCACTGATGGTGTGCTGTGGGGCCGCAGTTTCCGCCTCTGCCAAGTCGGCTGGCGGCACGTACTGTGCAGGAAGGAAGCTGGCAGAGGTCATGGGTGTCTAGAGCTTGGGGTGTAGACGGGACAGAGACAGTGATGGTGCCCGCGATGGCGCTTACTGTGTGGCCCCAGAGGAAGCGACAAACTCTGGAGGCTCATGTACTCCCTATTTCCATGGCTTAGCAAGGAGCTGGAAGCAACTGGGCCCCAGAGGTGCCCCTTTCTCTCCTGGCGAGTCCTCCACTAAGAAGGTCCCGGCCCTGTCCTCCACTTCTAAATGTGCGAATCTCTCTAGGGCCGCTGGGCAGAGCCCAGGGCAACAGTGAGGGTGCAGGGGGCCTGGGGCTCTGCTGCCTCTGTCGCCCAGGCCCCACAGACGGGGTCTGCACAGACACATGAGGCCTGGGGGTGCGGGGCCCAGCACAGAGTAAGCACCATCCCAGGCGCCATCACCATCCCCATCCCGTCTACACCCGCTGCTCCGGCTGGCGCAGTTTCCCGGCCAGGGAGGGGTCTACCTTGTGCAGGTTCTTCAGTCGGGGTGGCAGGTTGTCCCGAATCATCTTCATGGCTTTGAGGGGTGGCTCGTTGAAGTAGGGGGGCTCTCCGTCCACCATCTCAATCACCATTATCCCCAGTGACCAGATGTCCACCTGGGGCAGGGGAAGGGACAGCAGGGCTGAGCTGCTGGGGGATGGTGGGTCGTGGGGAGGCCTCAGGGAGGAACCGCCCAAACGCCGTCTCTGCCTCTGGCTCCTGGAGTCCTTGGCCCAGAACTCCCTCTTGGACACCCAGCCAGCAGTCCACGTGCCAGGGAGCCCCTGAAGAGAGCTGCCCACCCCGCACCCACCCCTCTTCTTTCTGTCAACTGCCCCCAGGTCCCCTCCCTCCCTCAGTCCAGGTGGCATCCAGTGGTGGGTTCAGGACCCAGGTAGCCTCATCACCACAGTGGAGACACAGTGATTGGTTCAGAAACAAGCACAGGACCCAGCCTGGGTCAATTAGAGCCAACCTGGGGACTTTACCCAAAACACCCAAGGAAAGAGGGCAGCCCGCAGGCAGGGGACACTTCCCAGAGCTGCCGGGGCCAGCTCTGCTCCCACAAGGGGAAAGCCAGCCTGTGAAGACAACGCTCAGAAATCAGAGCCAAGGCCGGGCGAGGTGGCTCACACCTGTATTCTCAGCACTTTGGGAGGCCAAGGTGGGCAGATCACCTGAGGTCAGGAGTTCGAGACCAGCCTGGTCAACATGGTGAAACCTCATCTCTACTAATACAAAAATTAGCTGGGCATGGTGGCCGGCACCTGTAATCCCAGCTTCTCAGGAGGCTGAGGCAGGAGAATTGCTTGAAGCCGGGAGGCGGAGGTTGCAGTGAGCTAAGATTGTGCCACTGCACTCCAGCCTGTGCGACAGAGCAAGACGCCATTTCAAATAAACAAACAAAAAAAGAATGAATGAATACATGTATGCCTGCAGTACCTCCTCATCCAGAGCACCATTCCTGGCAATCACTCCCAGACTGGGCCCCACCTCCCGCCAGCACTGCAGCTGGAAAATGGCAGTGTCTGCTGTCCACAGCGGGACAGCCTAACCACCCTGGGGCTCACCTCTGGCCCGTAGGGAAGGCGGGAGATGAGCTCTGGGGCCATCCAGTAGGGCGTGCCGACCAGCGACTTCCTTCGGGGCACTTCCTTGCTCACCTGGGCACAGAACCCGAAGTCTGACAGCTTCACCTGGGGCGGGCAGAGGCAGTGGGGTCAGAGGAGCTGGCACTACAGGAAGGCGAGCAGGGGGGTCCGCCTGCCTCATTCCTTGGCTTCAGACACGATGTGCCACCCAGAGGACAGAGCTGGTGTCCAGAGCCAGACCAACAGGAAGCTCCACCACCTCCTGGTGGGGGCCCTGGGGCGAGTCACCTCCCCCAGGATCCCCTCATTTCCCTTCCTGACAGCCTCTGGGGCTTTTGGGGGCAGTGCCCTGAGTACTGCAGATAGCAGAGGCTGGGCTGGAGCTGGGAACAGGGGTGGCCCAAAAAGCCTGTGCCCTGGGGCCCTGCTGCCCTCCAGCAAGTCTTCAGTTGGTGGGAAACGAAGGCAGCCCCGCACTGGGGCCGTGAGGGGACACAGCCTGCCTTTGCCACAACCAGGCCCCTCACACCTCAGGAACTGTGGGCCCCTGTCTGACTTCTCAGGATCTCTTTGGGTCTTCCTGCCTCCAGAAAACATCCCCACACCGTGTGTGGACAATCTCGGGTGGCCACAGATGTCGCCAACACACATCTGTAGACATCCGGAGCTTTTCACAGACTGTCAGTGACACAGCTCTCTCTGCCTCTGCCTGGACTGACTGGTGGGGCTCAATCTTCCTTGGGGGAAGGGACGGAGTCATCCACTTCTGCAAGCATTTCATTCAAGTCAAGGGCCCCCTCTCCCAGAAAATCACGTCCACCCGGCGTTAGAATTGCCATGGCCTCAGATTCGGAACCTCAGTCCAAAGTATGGAAGACAGGGCTGGGGTCCACGGCCCGGCCCGGGTGCTGGGCAGGGAGCGGCTTTTCAGTGGAGGGAGAAGCCTGTGGTGGGGGCTGCGCTGTCTGCCCAGATCCCTGCCCCTGGGCCCAGTGTCCTGTGCTGATGGCACAGCCTCCGCCAGCCTCTGCCCTCCCACTGCATACAGTCCCCACTGAGCTGGAGCCTGACTCTGTGCTGCTCCACGACGGAGAGAGAACTTCCCGGCTCCTCAACTCAAGACACAGACCTGGGGGTCGGAGCTCACCTACCCTCAAAGGGGATGGGGAGAGGCGGGGAAGCCCCGCAGCCGGAACCCCACCACCCCTGCACCCCGCTGCCCGTCCCCTCACCCTGCCGTCATGGGTCAGCAGGATCGAGTCGCTCTTGATGTCCCGGTGGATGACGCCCTGGGCGTGGAGCACCGACAAGGCCTGCAGCACTGCCAGGCACACGGCCGCGATCTGCTCCTCGTTCATCCTGTGGGGTGGGGTGGGGGTGAGCAGCCGGGTGGACAGCACCCCGGGGGCCGAGGGGGATGCAGCCCTGCCTTGGGATGGGAGGACTCACCACTCGGCCCCACTCTGGAACGAGAGGAATGGAAGACAAGGCCCCATCCCGAAGGCCTGAAGCACAGCTAGTTTGGAGATGTGGCCCCACCCTAAGCGGTCTGGAGGGGACTTGGTTGTGTCACAGGAGGAGTCTGAGGCCCCCGCAGTACCTGGTGTGGGTGACGATGTCGGTGAGGGCGCCTCCTTCCAGGAACTCCATGACCACCCAGAGCTCGTCCCCCACCAGGTAGCTGTTGTACATCTCCACCACATTCTCGTGCTGGTAGTCCCTCATGATCACCACCTGTGCAGGGGCTGCATCAGTGGTGGGGGGGAGGCGGGAGGGCTGCCAGCCCTGCCTCAGACCCAGCCAGCGCCACCCCCGTGGTTCCTCCTGCAGTTCCACATCGAGCTTGTGCTCACTGGGGTCACCTGGACTGCCCTCCCCTACTACCACAGCCACGTGGGCCTCAGAGCCAGCTTGAAGCCCATGCCTCCCTTATAGGGGTGCACGCCCCTGGGCACATGCTCGTCTCAGGTCAGTCCTGGGCTGGTGCTGGCGGGGAAGTGGGAAGACAGCGTTCAAGCACAGAGCTGAGACCCAGACAAGCAGGTATGGGGCAAGGATGAGAGAAGAGGCGTGCATCTGGGGGTGGATGAGGAACTCAGGCGAGGAGCTCGGAGTTCGAGACCAGCCTGGTCAACATGGTGAAACCTCATCTCTACTAATACAAAAATTAGCTGGGCATGGTGGCCGGCACCTGTAATCCCAGCTTCTCAGGAGGCTGAGGCAGGAGAATTGCTTGAAGCCGGGAGGCGGAGGTTGCAGTGAGCTAAGATTGTGCCACTGCACTCCAGCCTGTGCGACAGAGCAAGACGCCATTTCAAATAAACAAACAAAAAAAGAATGAATGAATACATGCATGCCTGCAGTACCTCCTCATCCAGAGCACCATTCCTGGCAATCACTCCCAGACTGGGCCCCACCTCCCGCCAGCACTGCAGCTGGAAAATGGCAGTGTCTGCTGTCCACAGCGGGACAGCCTAACCACGCTGGGGCTCACCTCTGGCCCGTAGGGAAGGCGGGAGATGAGCTCTGGGGCCATCCAGTAGGGCGTGCCGACCAGCGACTTCCTTCGGGGCACTTCCTTGCTCACCTGGGCACAGAACCCGAAGTCTGACAGCTTCACCTGGGGCGGGCAGAGGCAGTGGGGTCAGAGGAGCTGGCACTACAGGAAGGCGAGCAGGGGGGTCCGCCTGCCTCATTCCTTGGCTTCAGACACGATGTGCCACCCAGAGGACAGAGCTGGTGTCCAGAGCCAGACCAACAGGAAGCTCCACCACCTCCTGGTGGGGGCCCTGGGGCGAGTCACCTCCCCCAGGATCCCCTCATTTCCCTTCCTGACAGCCTCTGGGGCTTTTGGGGGCAGTGCCCTGAGTACTGCAGATAGCAGAGGCTGGGCTGGAGCTGGGAACAGGGGTGGCCCAAAAAGCCTGTGCCCTGGGGCCCTGCTGCCCTCCAGCAAGTCTTCAGTTGGTGGGAAACGAAGGCAGCCCCGCACTGGGGCCGTGAGGGGACACAGCCTGCCTTTGCCACAACCAGGCCCCTCACACCTCAGGAACTGTGGGCCCCTGTCTGACTTCTCAGGATCTCTTTGGGTCTTCCTGCCTCCAGAAAACATCCCCACACCGTGTGTGGACAATCTCGGGTGGCCACAGATGTCGCCAACACACATCTGTAGACATCCGGAGCTTTTCACAGACTGTCAGTGACACAGCTCTCTCTGCCTCTGCCTGGACTGACTGGTGGGGCTCAATCTTCCTTGGGGGAAGGGACGGAGTCATCCACTTCTGCAAGCATTTCATTCAAGTCAAGGGCCCCCTCTCCCAGAAAATCACGTCCACCCGGCGTTAGAATTGCCATGGCCTCAGATTCGGAACCTCAGTCCAAAGTATGGAAGACAGGGCTGGGGTCCACGGCCCGGCCCGGGTGCTGGGCAGGGAGCGGCTTTTCAGTGGAGGGAGAAGCCTGTGGTGGGGGCTGCGCTGTCTGCCCAGATCCCTGCCCCTGGGCCCAGTGTCCTGTGCTGATGGCACAGCCTCCGCCAGCCTCTGCCCTCCCACTGCATACAGTCCCCACTGAGCTGGAGCCTGACTCTGTGCTGCTCCACGACGGAGAGAGAACTTCCCGGCTCCTCAACTCAAGACACAGACCTGGGGGTCGGAGCTCACCTACCCTCAAAGGGGATGGGGAGAGGCGGGGAAGCCCCGCAGCCGGAACCCCACCACCCCTGCACCCCGCTGCCCGTCCCCTCACCCTGCCGTCATGGGTCAGCAGGATCGAGTCGCTCTTGATGTCCCGGTGGATGACGCCCTGGGCGTGGAGCACCGACAAGGCCTGCAGCACTGCCAGGCACACGGCCGCGATCTGCTCCTCGTTCATCCTGTGGGGTGGGGTGGGGGTGAGCAGCCGGGTGGACAGCACCCCGGGGGCCGAGGGGGATGCAGCCCTGCCTTGGGATGGGAGGACTCACCACTCGGCCCCACTCTGGAACGAGAGGAATGGAAGACAAGGCCCCATCCCGAAGGCCTGAAGCACAGCTAGTTTGGAGATGTGGCCCCACCCTAAGCGGTCTGGAGGGGACTTGGTTGTGTCACAGGAGGAGTCTGAGGCCCCCGCAGTACCTGGTGTGGGTGACGATGTCGGTGAGGGCGCCTCCTTCCAGGAACTCCATGACCACCCAGAGCTCGTCCCCCACCAGGTAGCTGTTGTACATCTCCACCACATTCTCGTGCTGGTAGTCCCTCATGATCACCACCTGTGCAGGGGCTGCATCAGTGGTGGGGGGGAGGCGGGAGGGCTGCCAGCCCTGCCTCAGACCCAGCCAGCGCCACCCCCGTGGTTCCTCCTGCAGTTCCACATCGAGCTTGTGCTCACTGGGGTCACCTGGACTGCCCTCCCCTACTACCACAGCCACGTGGGCCTCAGAGCCAGCTTGAAGCCCATGCCTCCCTTATAGGGGTGCACGCCCCTGGGCACATGCTCGTCTCAGGTCAGTCCTGGGCTGGTGCTGGCGGGGAAGTGGGAAGACAGCGTTCAAGCACAGAGCTGAGACCCAGACAAGCAGGTATGGGGCAAGGATGAGAGAAGAGGCGTGCATCTGGGGGTGGATGAGGAACTCAGGCGAGGAGCTCCTGGTGCAGCCAGGCGCTGTGATGCGCAACGGGGCCAAGAGGGGCCTCACACACCCGGCAAAGGGGCCTGGGCTTCCTATTGTCAGGGCACTGAAGGGCGCTACCAGGGTCTCTAAGGAGGGATGGGGATGGGGTGGCCTGAACGTGAAACATCCTCTTGGTCATTGTGTGGGCTGTGCCGAGGGGATGCCCAGGAGCTGAGGCCAGGGCGGGGCACAGGGAACCCAGGAGGGGCAGGTCTGGAGGACACTGTACCCTGGAGCCCGGGTGGGCTTCAGTGGGTGCAAAGGGCCTGGAAGACACGGGGTGAGGGGTCAGTGGGCCGAGGAACCCTGGGTCTGGGGCTCAGGGACAGAGATGTGGGTGAGGGTGCTGTGAAGACAGAGGCAGGGACCCAGCTGGGGCGGAGGAGATGGCCTGGGGAGGGAGAGGAGTGAGGGGAGGAGAGGAGGCTGGCCCAGCACGGAGGAGTGCAGGGAGAGGAGGGAGGGCAGGGCGGGAGGAGTGCA